ATTGTCGGCGCCACCGACCGTGAAATGTCCCGGCCCACAGCCCTCATGCACTAGGCTCATGGATGCAGTCATAATATGTAGGCCTTGTCTCCCGAAGTTTGGAGCAATAGCCGCAAATAGTACTTTTTGGCACTTCATCGCGACACGTCCAGGTGCCGACAAAGCGGCTTCCCAGCTCACCACCTCGCCTTCTCTGTCGCTCTCCTGGCCCAGGCCCATCAGCAGCAAGTCTGAGCCGTCCCAAACCGCACTTATCTTGGGTGATGAAGCTCACTATGGCTCATACCACGGCTCTGCAGCCTCACACACGCCCGTTTCAGCCACAGACACCGCCGGCACGCACTCCCACTTCACACACGCTCAAGCACAACCCCATCAAAGCACATCCCTGCTCAGAATGGGCAAGGGCTACCACCTGGTGACCCTGGTAGCCTCTGGCTCGCCACTGCACTCGGCTCCTCTGCAGCGGTCTCGGCTCTCGCCACGGCAGCACGCCGACGGCAAGCTTTGACGCCCGTCTGGTGGACCTGCTGTGGCCACAGCCGCCCCTGACATGCATCTCGCACCATGACTCGACACAGGGCCCGCTCAGCTTGGTCGTGGCGGCGTGTGTGAAGGATGCGCGGCCGAGCCGCTGGCTGGCGCCGCTTGAGCGTCCGAGATGGCCGCAGCAGAGGCCACGCGTCGCGCCGCCGGCCAATCCCAGCCTCTCGGCGGTCGAGTTGGTCGAGCTGGCGGGCGGAGAGCCGCCAAGAGGGCAGCAGCGGAGCGTGAGAGGCCGTGCGAGCTTGCGCGAAGAGAGCGCTAGCGCTCTGTTCGATTTCAATAGGCGGCCTACCTTGGCCTTTAAAGTGGTACTTGAGAGAGCTCGCTGAGAGCTTTCACATGGTGTGCGAGCCGTTTTCTGGCTCCTACGGGAAGGCTATTCCGACATTTCCACCCGTTTGTGTGTGTGTGATTTGGGCTCGGCAGCTTGTTAGCCCGCCGAAACTGGGTGGGGCCGGTCCCGTAGCCGAGAGAGCCCGCGCCGATGAGTTCGACGCGGTCGGGGGGGCCTGCGGAGAGGCCAGCGAGGTGGCGATCGCTGTACTTCATGGTGTCATCAAGTGACTGGCTGACTCGCCAGAGGTCGATACTCTGGACGACCCATAGGATGCCACGAATGCCTGAAGGAGAGGGAGGCGAGGCCAGAGGCAGGCTCAGCTGCTCTCGGGTGATCCCGCTTTGGTGGCTGAAGGACCCGATGGTCCTGTCACATTCGTGTTCCGAAGTCGTGGGGGTAGAAGAATTCGAGGTAGAATCGAGTCAGCACTTCCTTGTAGTACAGCGGACCGCCAGGCTCGCCGGCAGCATCCGCAGGGAGGCAGCATATGAGGCACCAGTTTTCTGGAGTTCTCTTCCCGTTTGTTGGTCACCATGACCTCAGCCAGAGCCTACGTACTTTTAGCTTACTGGGAGAAAAGGGCTTTCTTCTCCCGCCCTCCTGCCCCTCTCTTGGCTTTTTTTTGCCCTTGCGCCTTGGCTCGGCTCGCCCGCTCGGCTCGCTCCGCTCGTTCACCGCCGGGGCGGGCGCCTGGCGGCTCCGCGGAGCTCCTTTGGCTCGGCGCGGGCGGGGGCGCGAGTAAAAAGAAATTTAGGGCAAACTCCTACGCCGCGCCTGCGCTCGGCGAAGGCCGCGAAAAATTCGAGGGTGCGAAATCGCTGCTGCGTCGGGACGCGGGTACCTCGCGAGAAAAGCCGTTCAAGCCCGGCAATCCTCACCCCCCCCCAAGCAGCTGCGGCCGCAATCATGCGATGGCTCGGCTCTAATGGTGATGCACCGGTGAATTATGTGTGTGCGGGTTCATAGCGGTTTTACCATAAATGACCACACAAGACTCAAGAGCGGGCTGCGGGGGACGGAACGAGACGCAAGACGCATGACACCCGAAAAGATTTGTCTTTTGTGCGGGGTATAGTATGTGTATAAAGAGCATGATAAAGAGTGAGTGCAGTCATGCAGTCGATCGGACAGGGAGGGACGTGTTCGAGGTGGGGCTAATGAACAGAGTCAGAGAAAGGACGATACTGATGACACACACAGCAAAAACTGACGACCTCGCGTGGAGCCGGAGGTGGGCGGCGTACGCACCAACACAGCCAGTCAGGCGCCAGCCGCTGCCGCCGCCGGCGTGAACTTGATCCACTGAAGCTCCGAGAACGTCCTCACCTTGAAGCGCCAGAGTTCTGAGAAGAAGCTCTGGACCGTTCCCCACGGCTGCGCCCCGCCCAGCTTCGGGAAGCGCCCCCTGTTGCGCGTCACGTATCCAGAGCTGAGGTTGAAGGGGACAGCCTGCGACTCCTCGACCCCATCCGCGCAGGGGCACAGCATGCCCATGCCGTGCCGCCCAAGGTAGTTGATCATGTCACAAAAGTAGCGCGCCATCATGTCAGCTCTCAGCGTCCAGGACGCGTTGGTGTAGCCCAAGATGTAGAAGAGGTTCGGCACGCCCGAGAGCATGCAGCCGCGGAAGACGAAGTGATTTGGCGCGTCGTACGGCACCCCGTCGACGCTCACCTTCATGGTGCTCATCGGGAAGTTGTGCTGCAGAGTCAGGCCCGTGGCGGAGACGACGATGTCGGCCTCAAGCACTTCGCCCCCGCCGGTGCAGACGCCGCTCTCCACAAACCTGGCCACGTGGTCGGTCACCACGCTAGCCCTGCCCGTGCGGAGGGCGGCAAACAAGCTGCCGTCAGGGTCGAGGCACAGGCGCTGGTCCCAGACGCCGTACGAGGGAGAGAAGTGCGTGTCGGCGTCGACGTGATCCGGGCAGAGCTTGCGAGCCTCGGCGATGAACCGTTGCTTGGCGGCCGCCCTGAACCACTGCGCGTAGGCGTACACGACCGCGCCCTGCAGAATGGTCAGCCACTTCTGCAAAAAGTAGCCGATGCGTGCGCCAAAGAGCCGCTCCAACACGGAAAGCGCTCGGTCCTTCTTGTGCTTCGGAGCGACATAGTAGTAGCTCGGTGAGCGCTGTAGCATGACGACGCTCGTTGCGCCGCTGTCGATGAAGGCGGGCACCATGGTCACGGCCGTGGCTCCCGATCCGATCACGATCACTCGCTTGCCCGCGACGTCGAGCGACTCTGGCCACTGCTGAGAGTGCACAAAGGTGCCTTGAAAGCGGTCGGAGCCATCAAAGGCGGGCATGTGCGGCTTTTCGTACTGGTAGTAGCCTGTCGTCAGGATCAGGAAGCGGCAAACGATCGTCCCGCCAGCGCCCGTGGTCACGGTCCAGCGCTGCGTGGCGCTGGAAAACGAGGCCGAGACGACGTCGGTGTTCAGTCGGATGTGCTGGCGCAGGCCATGCTCGTCGACAGCGTCGTCGAGGTACTGGCAGATATCCTTGGCCGGCGCAACGATGTTGTCGCTCTCCCAGCGCTTCCAGCCGAATCCGAAGGAGAACACGTCCGAGTCGGTGCGAATGCCCGGGTACTTGAAGAAGCTCCACGTGCCGCCGAGTTTGGCACGGCGCTCAAGGACCGCAAACGTCGTGCCCCGGCAGTGCTTGGAGATGTGGTAGGCGGCACTGATGCCAGAGATCCCGCAGCCGACGACGAGGACGTCGATCTTCTCCATCGAGTCGGGTGACAATGAAGCCATCGAGTCGGGTGATGCCGGAGATGTCGACATGGCTTCGATCTTCTCCATCGAGTCGAGTGACAATTTCGAGGTGGCTCGAGCGGCAACGAGGACGGAGGGCGTTCCGACTTTTGCTCCTTGTGTTTCTTTTTCAGTGTAACGTCCTTCCCCGTAGGAGGACTCTGCTGACAGGGTTTGCGATGAGGAACGACCCGAAGGGTTTCTCGGAGGTTAGTGCACCACTAACCGCCGAAGCGCAAGCGCTTGGAGCAAGAGAACTGCGACGGATCGGTCTCATACTAGCACCCCACCTCGCGAGCCGACGTTCTGGCTCAGCGAGGTTGCTGCGGAGCACTCGCGGACCGGTTCTTCTGGCCCGGCGAGGCCGCTGCGGGGCACCCGGCGGCTCGGGTCACTTCTCAGCGCAAACTCAGTCGAGCAGGAGAGGTAAGGTGTGTGTGTGTAAAGGCGGCGCGGCACGGTAAGGGTCGGTGGTAAGGCAGAGCGGCGGCAACAGACGGCAGGCAGGGCATCGGACGACGGGACAAACGGCACGGCGGGCGCGGCACTGTAGGAGCGGCGGTATGGCGGCACGGTGGTAACGCTAACGGACGGCAGGGGGGGGACGGCGGGCTAAACGGCAAGGGCGGCGCGGCACGGAGGAAGGAGTGGCACGGTAAGGAGCGGCGACACGACGGCAGACCACGGCAGCGAACGGCGGAGCATTGGGCGGCGGGAAAACGGCTGTGGGCGGGGCGGGAGGGTGAGGCGAGGGTGGCGGCGGTGGATCACGAGGAAGTAGAAGGTCGAGCGCGAGCGTGCGAGCGAGCGGCGAGCGAGCGGCTAGGCGGCGGGAGGGTGAGGCGAGGGTGGTTTTTGCTTGGCCCTGAAATTTAAAAAACCTTGCCGGCCATGGGAAACTAAAAAAGAAATCACCCGAGCGGTGAAGGTGAGGTACTATACCAACTAAAGTGATGGCTGGTGGTACTATCCTGCAACCACAGTCCTTCTTGCAGATTTTTTTGTTTTGTTTCCTTCCTGTGACATGACAGGCCACTCTCAAGCCCTACAAGCACCAGATCAACGACTTGGGGAGGGTTGACATCGTGATTTCCGCGGAAAATTTCTTTTTCTGCTGTGAAAATTCCGGCGTGAAGAGAGGGAAAAACCCGACGGGAGGGCCCAGACCTACCTACCCTACCTACCCCGGCATGAGGGCCGCCCCAAGCAAAAAGAACACACTCCCGCCTTCCTTTTCGTTTTTTTCCCTGTCCTCCGATGGTACGTTGTGCTGCCAAGGTGCGATCGATCGAGAGAGAGTGTGTTTGTTTTGTTGCGATCGATGACTGCAAGGACCAAGGTGTTAGCTCCCCGGCCCTGGGTGTGATGTTACCAACCACAACTGCACTCCAAGTGCTCCAAGTCTTCTTGGTTTGATGGGAAGCGGGAAGGCGAAACACAGTCCGACCAACGACTGGGACACCAACGCGGTATGGGTGGACGCAAGACGGGCGGTGAAGTCTTCTTTGGAGGCGTCGGAACAGCGTGAACCGACGCGAGGGTCGGTCGGCTCCTAACTTGAGCACTTGAGCACTGGATAGGGCCGATTCCGCGTGGTACGGGACCCCTCGATCGTCTCGCCCTCCCTCACTGGTATGTTCATTGGGGGGGGTCATAACAAACACGGTACAGGATCGAGGTGCACGCTGCCGAAGCAGTGTCGTCCCCTCTCTCCCCAACGGCGATGGCGGTGTGACCGATCGAGCTACAAGAGGAGCTTGTTCAGCAGGATCCGGGATGGTCAGGCGCACTACCTCACTGGGCCTGAGACCGCCGAGACGACCCCATCACCGTCTCGGATTCATGTGGGATCGAACCACTCCGGGATGGGCAAGCCCATCAATTGTTAATTGTCAAAATTCCTGTTGTGCAAGAAGGGAGGGGGCTCTGACGGAGTGCGTGGCGGGAGAGGGCAGGGAGTGGGCGGGGGGGAGGGGGGGGGGGGGGCTCAGCCGTGCAAAAAGCATCAATTAATCATAGTAAGGAAGACATGTTGCCCCCGTTCAAGAAGTCCGTCTCGATTTTCGTTTTTTTTTCCACAGACCACTCGGGCAACTTTTACGAAAGGCAAAGTTCTACTTGACCACTCGGGCAGATTCGATTGCATTTTACCACTCGGGCAAACTCGATGAAACGGGCGGACGAAACGCGTTTGCGACGGCTCGCCGGAGAGCATGCATGGAGCGGCCGGTGCGCCGCCGCAGCTCACCGATGGAGCCTGCGTCGCGGCTCAATCCACTGACGTAGCAGCACTGCGACACACTCTCCAAGCACGGCCTCTGGCGTTGCGATTGCACAGAGAGCGAGCAATAGGCGCCAAAAGCACAGATCTGTGTGCAGTGGATTTCCATGTAGGTCGCGCCCAGCGAGCGGACAACCGCGGGTCTCGGATGCTCTCCCGGACGCGAGCCCATCGTGCGAGTGGCGGACCCGGAGGCGGCCGGCCCAGCTCACCCCCAGAGAGGCCATGGCCAGGGTCAGGCATAAAAGGGGGGTGTTTTTCCGTCCGTCCAACTTTTTTTTCTCCTAACTAACTAGCTGTATATAGTCACTAGCTAGAGCTCACACTAGAGGCCGTCATCGCATTCGCCTTCCTGGTACCTACCCAGCGCTGGCTTCTGACTGTCGTTGCTGTCTCTCTCTTCTCGACTGTCTGTCTGTGCTTGCTTGTGCGTCTTGGGTCCGGGGTTGTGTTTTTGTGTGAACAGAATGTTCAATCTCAATGTCCCACCCCCCTGCGCGCGGGCCTTCTAGGCCCGCGGGTAGTCTCCCCCCATCCCCAGGGCCCCAGGCATGCGACGTATTTTCTTGTCAATAACAAGGTCTGTGAACGCGGGTTGATGTCGGTACCCTAACCAGCAACGCTGACCGACTCCACACCACCACCATCGGCGCTCGCACGCTCCTCTGCTCGGCCGCTGGACGCATGATCGGCCCGCCGCACCCCGGCGTGCCCCTCGCGTACGGCACGGCCGGCTTCCGCGCTCGGGCCGACCTCCTCGACTCCACATTCTTCCGGATGGGTGCGCTCGCGGTGCTGCGCTCGCGCTCGCGTGGTGGCCTGGCCGTCGGCCTCATGGTGACCGCATCGCACAACGCGGAGCCCGACAACGGGATCAAGCTCGTCGACCCGGACGGAGGCATGCTCGACGTTTCGTGGGAGCCGCACGCGTCTGCGGTCGCAAATGCGGCGGACGCAGACCTGGCGGCGGCGCTCGACGCGGTTGCCGACGCGGTGGGCGTGGTGTCGGCGGGCGGCGGGCGCGTCCTGGTGGCGCGCGACACGCGGCCGCACTCGGAGCGGCTCAGCGCCCTCGCGCTCGACGGGGTGAGCCACCTCGGCGGCGCTGGTGAGGACTTTGGCCTCCTGACGACGCCGCAGCTGCACCACATCGTCCGTCACGCAAACGGCGGCGCCGCCGGCGGGGCGCACGTGGGGCCGGCCGCGTGGGCGAGCGAGGGCGGGTACGCCGAGATGCTCTGCACCGCCTTCGCCGCCCTCCTCCCGCCAGACCTCGGTGGCGGGGGACTGCGCGCGCCTCTCACCGTCGACTGCGCGTGCGGCGTCGGAGGCCCGCAGCTCGCGCCGATCGCGCAGCGGCTCGCGCCTCTGCTGCCGCTGGAGCTGATCAACCGGCCGGGCGAGGGCGAGCTCAACGCGGGCTGCGGCGCCGAGTTTGTCCAAAAGGGCCGCCTCCCTCCCCGCGGTCTCGACACGCCGCCGCCCACCACCTCCGCCGATAGCGGCGGCGGCGGCGGCGGCGGCGGTTCGCGGCTGTGCTCCCTTGACGGGGACGCCGACCGCGTCGTGTTTCACTACTG